GTCGTCGTCGTCGTCGTCGTCCGCCGACTCGGATTTGCGCCGTGTGCACGTTGGAAATTTCTGCCGAGTACGCATTGTAGCAATGGTCGGAGGACAGAACAGGCAGGGGGAGGACAGGCTATTGCATGGATCGTCTGTTGGCACCCTGTGTTTTCGGCCAAATTGCTGTTGCCTTCCTTTTTGCCAGGTTGGGTGGGTGGGTGGGTGGGCGGGCTGTTCTGCGCACATCTAACATTGACTGATGTGGTGTAAGTTGCGCTGGCTCCCGTCCTAGATTTGGTCCAATCGGCAGTCCGAACAGACAAGAGAAGGGACAATGCAGCAACGGCACTGAAGTGGCCATGATATTGTGCGCGGTATCATTAGGGGTAATCATAGTGGCGGTAGCAGCGACGGTGGTTAAAGCAGCACGGCATTGGAACGACTTATCATGGAGTCATGCCTGTCGTCACACAGCACTGCCGTTTGTGTATTGCAGTCTCGATTTAGCGTCCCCGTCTGTCGCTAGCTGCAAGGACGGGCAGCGGCAAAACGCAGCCTGGCACCAGCTGGAAACAAGACCAGACAAAGATTTGAATCCGTAGAACCCGGCAAGAGCTTATACTATAAGCCGTGAACCGGAAACGTAGCTTCAAGCCAAGATGGTGCCAAGGGGATGAAGCCAGTCCTGAAACTGGATGGAGCGATTGCTGCTATCTCCTGTGAGAGCCTGTTTCAGCACCGTTTGTCCTGTATCTCCTCATAGTAGTATTTGTAGTAGTAGTAGNNGTAGTAGTGGTGGTAGTAGTAGCAGGAGAGAAGTAATTCGTAGTTGTTGTTGACAGCAGTCCAAGTGTTGATTCTGCTCCTCCGGCGACCACGATCGCGACTGCGACTGCAGCTACTGTCATTTGCTCCAGATTGTGTAGGATAAATTCGCCCGCTCCTTGGCGCGGATGTGCAACTCAAAATAACCGCGGCCCACAACACAAGCATACACGAAAACCTCCAAGGACTGCCCCTAAACCCTAAAGCCAAGGCCTGAGCCCTCGACCATTTCTCCCTGAGGTACACGCTCTTGGACGACTCGGGGCTTCTTCCCCGCCTTACTTCGGCACTCTTTGATCCTTTGTCGCTCATAGTCAAGCATAAACGACCAACAGATTGCATACCCACCCAAAGAATGAACATCTCTTAGTCTTAGTCGTGTATCAGTCCGGCCGTCGAGTTTCGGAAAGACACAAAACTCTGGACAGTATCGGCTTCCACTGTAATTGACTGTAATGATATGGTGCAGAATGCTTTGTCTGCGGCCTGTTGACCCAATGGAGCTATGTAGAATCAACCCATTCGGCCTTGCATGCGAACATGGGAGGGAGATGAGAAACTTACGGTTGCCCATGCCTGAACCTGTGCGGTCCCATAGGAATCATAGATTGAGACGAGATGACATGTTGCTAAGCGCACGCAGCCTCTGCAACAAGGAAGCGATAGCAGCGGACACTGGCTCCTTGTATGAGGCGCATCCCGCTACCGATCTGGGCGCGTGCGGGCTAGGAGATTTCAGATTCAGAGGGCCTATCTGCGCGGACTTGTGCATGGTTCTTGTTAAGGATTCGGGTCCACAGTGCATTGCGGTCCAAGAGTGCCGTCCCACACTTTGTGGTTGCTGTTGTTGTTGTTGTTGTTGTTGTTGGTTGTTGTTGTTGTTGTTGGTGGTGGTGGTGGTGGTGGTGGTGGTGGTGTTGGTGTTGGTGTCGGTGTTGGTGTTGTTGTTGTTGTTGTTGTTGTTGTTGTTGTTGTTGTTGTTGATGTTGCTGCTGGTGTTGCTTGTTTTGTTTTGGTTTTTGTTGTTGTTATTGTTATTGCTGCTGTTGTTGTTGTTGCCAT